GAGAGATGGCAGTGGCGACCAAAAGGAAGTTGGGTTGTGCATATATGAGTAGCAAGCTCCAGGTGGGATGTCCATAGGGAAGAAACGGCAGGCAGGATGGGACACAACACTGAATGAGAGCATCTGGGAGAGATGACTGCTAGGAAGGAAGGCGGAGGAGAGGAGGGTGGACAGCAGGACCAGGGCTCTGTGCAGGTCGAGACTAGCAGGGTGATGTCAGGCATGAGGTGGCAGGAGGCAGGGCAGAAGTCAAGGTGTGTGGGGAAAGGAAGAAGGTGGGAGAATCAGAGGAGGAGACTCCCCAAGAGCTGAGTCAGAAGAGTCCACAACAAAGGGGCTGGATGGAAACATCCCAGGTTTCAGGGAGCAACCTTTTCGAGGTCCAGGAGGACACTGCAGCGTTGGTCCACAAGACTGAGTATGGTGTGGGGGGGGGGCAGAGTGTGTGGGCTCAGCACAGTGTCGGAGGCAAAGAGGACTGAATTGGGCTGAGCAGTGGGCAAGGATCAGGAAGGGAGCACCCAACAGAGAAGACTACTGAATCCAGCTGCAAGTCTCAGTGGGAGCTCAAAGAACATCACACGCTTAGGTCGGACAGCTGTTTATGACGCTGCAGTGGAGAAGCAAAGCAGGAGAGACCTTGAAGCCGGGCGTTCAGGTGAGCAGTCTCTGCCAGGTGGGAGAGTGTGGTAGAGGGCAGGTGGTCCATCGGGCCAGAGGAGTGAGAAATCGCAGGACACGGTGCCTGGCAGGCATACCAGGGGCTTGTGGAGAGGATCAGGGAGCGCACTGCACCAGGAGAGGAGTGACAAAGGGCGGAAGTGGAGAATCTACAAACTTTACCCCCGAAAGTGGGTCAAAGGCATGAGGCAGCTCATGCAGGAGGAAGGGTGCAGCGAGGCTAAGACAGGGCAGGCGAGGAACTCGGGAGAGGTGGCTGAAGTCAGAGGATGTTCCGGTGGTAGAGGTAGTGGCTCTTGAAAATTCTGGAGACAAAACTGCAGGGCATGGTGAGATGATGGAAGGCCAGAGAGCACCCAGAAGCAATGACTTTCTCCAAACTGGTAGACACGAAAAGTAGCGTGCTTTGGTGAGCGTTCAGGCAGCGTGGATTCAGTACAGCATGCTGGGGACCAAGAAGCTGGCACTGGGGGAGCACGAGGTTCAGTCAAGGAAGAGGAAGTTGAGGGAAAGGTTGGGGAATCTGTCACCTGACTGGCAGGTGGCTGGGGAAGTAGGATGGAATGCTGACGAGGAGGCAGAGGGGCTCCTGAAGACAAGAGGAAGAGAAAAGGTGGTGGATGTGCCGAGCCAGTTCAATGGGCAGCCAGCTTGGAAAGAGAAACTCTGGAATCTCAGGCAGGATACAAATTGGATCAGGGGAGTCGGTGGGAAAATAAAGGAACAGGTGGCAGTCAAGAGGGGAAAGAACGTCATGAACTTGCTGGGTCTCAGAGCAGGTAAAGAGAAGAGCAAGGCCGGGGAGAAAATGAGGAAGAAGAGGAGCAAGGAGCCTGGAGAGCCCCAGTCTGGGACTTTGGCAGGTCTCAGGAGACAAGAGGGTTCTGCACGCCCTGATGCCGGGTGGCAGAAGCAGAGCAGAGCAGGGCAGAGACGCCATAGCCTGGGGCTTTGAAGACCCAAGGCCCTCAAAGCAGCAGGGAAAGGGCCACAATGACTGTGTTGACACAGAGGTAACGGTGCTGTGTTGCATATCAGATAGACTCTGCATACAAACCACGGCAGGTAACCTCAGGGACACTGGGAAGGACCAGGTGGAGTCCATGGTGTGGGTAGCAGATATGCTTAGAAATGGCACAGGAATGGGTGGGAACTAAGGTGGTATTGACAGCTGCTGTCAGTCAGCGAATCTGTGCCTCTGCTAGTCCATGGGTGCAGACAGGTGGGGGTTTAGCATGTGGCAGAGAGACTGCATAGGCAATCAGGGGAGAAGTGGGGACCTTCACAGCCAATGGGATGCCGTAATTCTAGTCTGAGAAGATAATGTGGGTAGGAAAAGGCCACAGAGGGAGACACCAGTGGGTGGGATGCTGGGGCCTTGGGGTACTCTTGTCTGGGAGGCTGGACCTGAACAACAAGGAGGCAAGGCCACATGGACTGGAGAGTAATTGGGTCTTCAGATCTGCATGTGGGTGATGTGAGGGGAACGTGGCTAGAGGGAAGGAGGGCAGAGCAGGGATCTGCACATGTCAACAAGGAGAGGGACAGCAAGGGTGATGGCCGGGGGTGCACCCCAGGTCCATGGGAAGAGAGATGGAATCAGTGGAGGCAAGGAAAGAAGGTGAGGTGGCGACCTGGTGTAAAGTCCTGTGTACAGTGGCTTGGTTAAAAGAGAAGACAGAACAGGAAGGAAGGAAAGACAGGAAGGCGCTAAGGAAAAGGGAGCCTAAAGAGAAATGGTGGCCTGAGCCCGTGGAAGAACCAGACCAGTGACAGCCCATGATTTCAGGGAGAACAGGGAAGGGGAGGAAAGAGTGTGAGCATGACAGCAGGGCCAAGGAGGGAGCAGCCCTACAGAGACAGGGTGACCCAGTGCAACTCAGTGACAGGCATTAGGGAGCACGGAGATGAGATAATGCTTCCTAAAGAAGAGGACGCTTTCCCTGGACCAGGGAGGGAAAGAGAAGAAATGGGTCACACGAGGAATGGTCTCAGGAAGGAATGTCCAAGTGGAGCCTTGATGTGGCATGACGGGG